TCCCTTTACGATCTTCAATCTGCAAAGGAAGTGTTACACCATTACATTCGAATTTGTTGAACAATTTATCAATGTCTGATAAAATATGATTTTGATACAGATAAGATGGAGGCAAAAATAACCAACTTCCATCAATAAATTTTATATAACAAAATAACTCATAAATTGATATGGCGGAAGTTTCGAATAACCTTATTGGTATTAAATTGATCCGGCCATGTAATCTGTTCCTGTGGTATATATTGTGTCGTTTCGACTCAAAAACTTTGACAGATTGCTAAGATGCTTCAGATAGGGCTACAAACTTTGATAGCATCTTCCCCCCCTACGTACAGAAGTGATAAATCATTTTTATTTAGTACTTTCTATCCCATTTCATATTAATTTTTACACTGATTTTCACCGGTTATTACTTTGGATCGAACCGTTAAATAAACAAGAATATTTAAGAATTCGATTTACTAACATCAAATATCTTTCTCTTCATTTTTTTTTTCAAATTGCAAGAGAAGAAAATTGATTTATTTAGTTTACTTAGTACGAGCTTCGTTTAATTATTAATGTTTAGTCATATAAATTAGGCAAGGCTAACTTAGTTAAGGGTCATATTAAATTAGATAAATACGTGTTAATTTTTATTATCGAAGATAAATCTCATTAAACTTTATTAAGTATGTACTTAATAAAGTTTTATGCATGCAATGTTATTACACGATAACATATAAGTTAGAGTATGTTATTTTAGACTAGATAAAATCTATGTTAATTTAAATACAATTTTGCTACGTTAATTAAGATTAACGTAATGTTATTTAACTTATGTTTAAATTAGACTGTGTCGTATTGAATCAGAGAATGGAATTTCTAGAGAATCCTTGAGGATCCCTTGAGCATTCTCCAGAAAGAAATTCCATTTGATACATACATTTTCTTATATTTTATTTACAAAAAGTATATAAAAATGATTGGGAAAGGTTAATATTTAATATATTTAAGTATTTTATTATAAAATCTTTCAACAGTTTAGTGATTTTCCTTATAAAAGCAAACAAATTTGGGTATTTATTGGGTAAAATAAATTTAGGACACTGAAAAATTACGAAATAAACTCTAATATAAATGTATATTTTTATTGGTTTGACTTATTATATAAGTAATATAGTTACCTAACAACATATTATTATTGTTATATTGAGACTTTGTTAAAAATTAATTTAGTTGATCCCATAATAACGTATAAAAATTGCTTTATGGTACCAGTAACTGTCTTGAGACCAATAACTGTACGGTTTACCAAATTATATTAGAGCTTAGAATAGATTACGTTGAGTTGAATATCTGTCATTCTGTTTTGATGTATTACAATTAGTTTATATTATCAATTTGTATACATTTATGAATATTACAGATATAACAGAATTCATTAATTAATATTTCACACTGATACGTTTACATTTGTGGGAAATATTAAAAATTGAATGAGATGAGTATATATTCAAAAATTTAAAATATCAGCATTTCTAGATATTTAAATATTAAAGTTACAAATCTCTATCGTTACTTAAATCCTTTAAATTATTATTCAAAATTTATTATAAATGCTAATAACGTGTAAAATTTTTTATTAAGTACAATTCCACTCGAGATAGGACACATGATCTCCCCTCTTTATCTCTTCATCCCCTTGATCTTTAACCATGAAATTTAATAGCATCAATGCCCCTAATACAGAAACCTCCCTGCAAAAGTTTAGAAATATTTGACAAAGTACAGGAGTTATTAAACTTCAAAGAGGGTAAACAAAATGGTGCCCTCGTATACACACTAACATCGATAAATATAGAAAAAAAAATCCCCGAATTTTCTTGTATTTCTCGACGTTTGAAACTCCCCGATTGTAAACATCTGGAGGGTCATTTTTTGACCGAATGCCATACTTTGCCTCTGTTATATACAGTATAATAGAACCGGGAAAAGTAAAAAAATAATATAAAAATAAATGAAATATTATCGGTTGCTAGAAGATAATTTTGCAGCTACTAAAAGGACACGCCACATAATGCTGATAATTAAATGCTAAATAAACAACCATAAGTCTAATCTATTCTGCTTCGCAACCGTCTATCTTCATTATCAACTGCTGTAGTAACGATATTAAATAAAGAACACGAACAGTTAACGTTTACAGAGGTAGTATTGTATTTTTATGACATCACTCTTAATATACAATTCATTAAATTACTCTTGTAAACTTATAAAAATAACATTTTAACTCCAACCTTATTAATAAATCATTTATGCAAATACATTATAAAAATTAATAAATATTTAACTAAGTGCTTTCCTGAATTTTCCAAAGATCTGGTTAGCAACAGACTTCCACATATCACTACATTGACATTCCTAAGTTAGTCTGAAACAAGAGAAAGCAGATGACAAAGTCATGTACCATCTCACTCCAATGGACTTAACTAGTTAACTATCTATCAATGTCTTTTGACATCTTGTTTTCTGTTTTGTTCTTCTTACTAAAACAAATCTTTTATCATACGTCTAACAACAACATCTTCGGAAAATCGAGTAAATAAATATATATATTAAAAAAAAAAACTCTTGCACACGGTAATAAAATTTTAATTAAATATCAAAAATATAATTCGAAATTTAATTATATTACAGAAGAAATACGATCTCCGTTAAACTCAGAAAATTTATCTCTTCGGTTTATAAATTTTATATTACGTTCGTCTCCTTTATTTTTGTGGTTTTTTTTATTTTTGCCTTACTGATAAAATAATTTTTTGTTTGGGTTTTTATAATTAAAACTGTACCTCGGATTAATGAAGAGAAATCAATGTAAAATTTCTTCTTCTTCTTCTTCTTCTTCTCTTTTCCCTTTACGATCTTCAATCTGCAAAGGAAGTGTTACACCATTACATTCGAATTTGTTGAACAATTTATCAATGTCTGATAAAATATGATTTTGATACAGATAAGATGGAGGCAAAAATAACCAACTTCCATCAATAAATTTTATATAACAAAATAACTCATAAATTGATATGGCGGAAGTTTCGAATAACCTTATTGGTATTAAATTGATCCGGCCATGTAATCTGTTCCTGTGGTATATATTGTGTCGTTTCGACTCAAAAACTTTGACAGATTGCTAAGATGCTTCAGATAGGGCTACAAACTTTGATAGCATCTTCCCCCCTACGTACAGAAGTGATAAATCATTTTTATTTAGTACTTTCTATCCCATTTCATATTAATTTTNTATATATATGATGTTCAATAGATAAGTATAGAGCTATCTAACAAAATATAACTCTAAATAATTAAAAATTTATAATATTTTTGAAGGAAAAGCATTCAATTTTCTACCCTAAATTTAATTTTAAAAAATTTATTAGATAAATAAATGTTTTCTTTAGAAACTAATCACAATTATGAATATTTATTTCTTTAAATAATTATTTGTATTAATGTATTTCTTTGTATGAAATTATTATTCAAAATTTTGAAAATTATCATTTATTTTTAAATAGACATTATTTATTTGTTTTAAGAAAGAAAAAAAAAAACCAACTATTTTAGCATGTTAGTCATTTAACGAGCGTGTTTTTATCACTCAACATTACATTTGGTTTCAATTTTTGTGGTCCCTATTGTCATTTTTCAGTCTGGATACAATAGGAAATGGCTTGGGTACGGAATCTATTATGAGAGGATAGCACATTCACTTTCATCATCATTATATAAATATACTGCATTGTGTTACTCTATCAATACATCACCAATATTTTTCTACGGTGATTTATGCCAGTGCAGTGATAAGAGAGTGAGAATTTCCGTTAAATAATAGCAGCGATTTTTCGTTTTATACTAAACGACGTCGACAATTTTTCTGATTTATTTTATAATCGCTATTAATTTTAAACCTTTTCGAAATTATTCAAAATACTTACAAAACTTTCTATACAAATTGCTAAACGCTGACTGAACCAGTCGAATATAATTATTATTGCATTAAATATTTAGAGTGATATCACCTTGACTTCTTTTAATGTTTAACAAATTGAAAGATATCCCGAGACTGCAAACTAATCGGCTAATCGATTCCACAGACTTCTGTTAGCGAAGTAAAAGTTAGGAAAGAATTTCTAGATCACTTCTCCGAATCTCATTAGTACAGAAGTTGGAAATAGTAGAAGACTATTAATTTAATTAAAGGAAAACTCGACGCAAAAGTCTTTCCCTCGGGGATGCCAAAAAAAAAGAGAGGGGAAAAAATGTAATGGACAACAATGAGGGAGAAGAAAATGCAATTTTAGAAGCTAGAAAATATTTTAATATCATTCAGTATGCTAGAAAATTCATCATGAATATTATGTTTATCAAAAAAATTTATTTAATAATAATTTATATATCGTATTTATTTAGTTTGATGGCTTTTTTTTAGTAATGTAGCTAACGTTAATTAAAATATAAATATAATTTATTAAAATTGTATAGTTCATATATACATTAATGTAGTACACTTTGTTTCATTTACATAAGAAATTCAAATTATGGTAGCTTCGTGATAATTAAAAGTCTATTATAATATAACGAGCAATTTTTAATTTATTTAATTTAAAATATATGCTCTCCACCTCGTGTCTTTTCCCTGTACATCATACTTTTCCTTTAACAATAGAATCGTGCCGGTCGTCTATTAACTGCTATTAACAGGGGAAAAGTTTTTAATTGAAATAACTATATATAAACTTCCAGTTTGAATCAGAAGTTTATATATTATTAATCGGGTCTTTCTGCTCCTGAGATTTCCATGTTTGTCTCGTATTTCATCTAATTAACTTCTTTCTCGAAAGTAAGGAAAGACAGACGAACTGACGAACTGACGACAGTGGGAATTTATAGAGCTTCAATTTTTTTCAAATTGCAAATATATTATTAATGTCTCCAGGGGAAAAAAGTTATTAATTTTTGTTATTTTAATAGTTTTTTTTTCCAATCAATTNTTGCAGTTTTTTTTCTAAGTCTCCTACATCTTGTTCTGCTTTTTCCATTTTTTCTTTAACTTGTCTTAATTCATCTTCTTTAGCATTTAATTTTTCTTCTTGTTTTGTAACTTGTAAAAGTGGTTTTACCTAAAATTAAGAAATGTTTTTCAATTTAAATATTTATAAACAAAATTTGATTACAAATTAAATATAATTTATATATTTTTTAAAATAAAATTTAACTTTAAAAGAATTAGTTTTATTCATTATATGTAAATTATCATAAAGATACTAAAAAAAAAATACTTTTGTATATAGTCTCCACCAGGACCAATTTCGAAGCTTCATGTATGCAGCACAATTCCTCTGAATAATACGTATTGCATTTAACTGTTGTAAGCGTTTCTGGTAATTTCTAAATCAAACAGGAAAGGAATGTAAGAAGTTGCTAACATTTTTTTATTGTATATATATATGTTTTTATAATATAAAATTTATTACTACCATCATTATTAGAAAAGACAATAATTACCTGCGAGCTAAAAGACCTCTGCAACAAGCTTGAAACTGAATAATCAAATCAGAAATTTTCATATCACGTTCTTCTTCTAGTTGAGCTAAAATACCTGCACGGAAGAAGATTTTACTCTGTCCAACTCTATATAAGTTTGGATCCAAGTCAAGAGCTAAAATCTAGAAAAACAATGATAATTATTAAAATAAACTGCAACTATTTAAAAATAATTGACATTTATTTTTCTCAATTTTAAACCAACCATTTTTTCACAGGCTAATTTTCCATCCATAAAACCTTTTGGAATAGCATTTGGTGTAAGAAGTTCATATCTGGAAAAGATATTTTATCATTAGTAATATTTAGAAGAAAATATCTTAAATTTAAAATATATTCAAATATCTTTCTAAGAATATTAATATTTATTCTTTTTTAAATGATTTATTATTGTTATTATTATTATTATTGTTATGTAGAGAATGTCATGCTCAGCTGATACTGGTGCCAAGTCCTGCATACAGCACTTGGCACCAGTATAGCTGATATAGTATTACATTAAGCATTATTATTAAGACAAGTTTATAAAAATCTCATTTTTATTACGTAAATTAAAGTTTAGCTTAGAAAATATAAAACATTTGCATTTTGCAGTGGCATATTAATTAAAATTAAGTAATAACGAATTTGATTGGTTAAACACTACTACCGTGTAGCGGTGTCATCAAATGGGAAAGTTCTAAATTAGATATCACAGAATAAAAATAAGTGAACTTCCGTTTCATCCTTATCAACCGGAAATGAAGATCCCAGACAACCTGACAGCTTTTATGTACAGTTGTTGGCGCCAGGAGACAATAGACTTCCTGCTCACTGGCTCTAAGTTAATGGCTATACGTTTGATTCGCATCAGATAAATGAATATATATGAATCGAACCATTCCTAAAGTTATTTGTTAAATTTGACAACAAAGAAAAATATAATTTATTTAAAATTAAAATATTTTCTCTCTATATATATATATAATAGGCATTATATATAGTTTAGCTCTTAATATTAAATGTTTAATATACAATATATATATATATAATGTTTACTTTTAATTAAAATTAAACATTTTACAAACTTGAAGCAGAAAAATAAATAAATAATTTATTTACTTTCAGGAATTGCAAAAATGTATTAAACTAAGAACAGAAAATACGAGGAATTTGGAAAATATAGCCTTAAAAATACTTATAAATTAAGTTAATCTAATTGGCTGATAAATTTTATCATTATTCCACCGTCCAATGAAAGTAACATTTGCTCATAAATTTTTAAAAATGACTCTGAGTGTATCAAATTATTAATTGATACTACTGCTTTTCTAATTGTCTTCTTGTATTTATTTTAATTTTAAATAATAAACTCTAAATAAAATATTAAATCTAATTTAATATATAATCGATCTTATTTAATGGAATAGAAATGGCAAAAAGTAGTTAGATGACAATTTCTTGCTTAGAAATTATCGCCATTTTAGTGATTTGTTTAACACTAAATATGGACAAAGATTTACTGATATATTTAATATATGTAATATCAATATATGCACGTTTGATATAAACCCAAATGAGCCATTGATTTTCTTATTGGCAATGTGTAAACATCAGCTATAAATGATATTTTCAAAATATTAATTTTAGCCTATGAATAATATAAATTACCTATTATGTTAGGCGATAATCACCTAACATAATAGGTCATAACATAACATCATCTAGCATATTAGCTGATTATGAAATGGGCCTATTATTTTAGGCAATCATTACTTAACATAATAGGTTCATTTCATAATCACCCTGCAATTCATAAGGAATTATGTAATTTTCCTTTTAAATGAGTTTAAAAAAAAACTGTTAAAAAACGAATTGAAGTATATAAAAATACAATTTAAAATCTTAAAAGTTTTATATTTTCAATGGCAATTTTACTCTGAATGCCTTGTAGTTTCTATGTTTGTGGTTTTATTAGAAAAGAAAGAAGAGTTTTAAATTCGTCGACAGCTATTTTACAAGAGATCATTAAAATCTTTATAACAGTACAAGCAAACAACGTTTTACCTAATATCTCTTTTACTGTTTGTACTTTTCGACAATTAAAAGTTTAGTTGGCAACTGTATCCTCCATAAGTTGCAGCTGTTGCTCATAGATGCGATAAAACTTCTAATAAAGCTAAGAAGGCGTGACTGAAATCTTAAATAGAAGGTTTATATATTACTAAAGCATATTATATCTACAATAGAAATTTTCTACAAAGTGTTGTAAAAATTATCACTTCGTAAATTGATAAAAGTCTATGGAATTAAAGATAAATTCGCCGCATAATTATAGGGAAGCAAAGATACATCTTTGTGATGGATATGCCTCTCCGTCTTCATTGTTTCTGACAGTTTGATGGAGAGATTTTATTCTTCTATAATGCAAGGGTAAATGGGAAAAATTTTTAAGTTTTTTTTTTTTTTGCTTTATATCTTTAATAATTATACATATTTATAAATAGATAAAATTCGACTTTCTAACTTACTTCGCATTTTTTCCGAATATATTATTTTTTATGGATAATAAGTAATAATTATTCCATCAAAAATCCATTTACAGAATGCATTAAAGACTTTATTTTTCATTTCTGAAAGTCATTTCATTTCAATTTGGTTATCAAACCTCAAGAAAAAAGTCTGAAATTGATAACATCTTTATCAAAGGAACCTAAATATAAGTTATAATGTTTCTTTGAAGAATTCGTTATTTGATACATAACGTATAAGTTAGGGAAGCGCAACATGTCACGTTATAAAACTTACAATTTCTGACCCTTCCGAAATGAAAAGAGAATTCAATACAAGAATCCTAACAGTAATTCCTCAATCTCTTCATACTGATATCAAAACTGTCACTCTTATATATCAGTCATAGAGGTTACTTGCAAGAACGGATTTAACATCACTAAAACTATCAATCAGCGTTTCATTCTTGCCTCAAAATCCATTCTATGTCATCTCTACTGGATATATGATCGATGAAGTCTTCAGCCAACTGTCTTCCAATAGCAACAGGACTTTTACAACAGCCTCTGGCTGGCAAGAGACAACCACAGGAAATCCTTTGTTATCTTTTCATCTTCCATCCACCATTTCTATCTTCCGGATGTCTGTGTCATTGATCCAGTTGTTTCCCGGATTTCTTAAGATATCCGTAAATTTTATTGAAGAAAAATTATTAATACCAAAGTATATCAGATAATCAAAAAGTACGGTTGAAAGGAAAACATCGATTTTGTAATAAGTTGAATCAAGCAATTTTTATTTTTAATTTAGGCTAATGACTTCGAAGTGTTCTCTAGTAAATTTAGATAATAGCTTCATTAGGCATCGCTCATCTTCCTTTTTTTTTAATATACTTTTTTTCCTTCTTTTCTAAATTTTTTAAATTTACTAACAACAAAAATGTGTTCTGTAAGATTATTCTCATAAGTATTCTCGACTTTTTAAAAATTCTTTCCAGTTTTATAATTAAAACTCTTCTTTAAAAAAAAAAAGAAAGAAAAAACTAACTAACACGCTTCCTCTATTAACATAGTACTAAAAATATTTTCAGAATATTTCAATAATTTATTTAAAATGTAATAAATAAATATAATTAACTACATTAATAATTAAAAGAAAATGGTCGATTAATGTTATAATTATAAGTAGATTAATGTGTATTTGTTTTCATGTTGAATAAAGATCATTTGTATGAAGATAACACGATAATTAGCTTTTAATTTATTAACAAAATAATAATAAAATGTAAGTAATGATAAGACTATTAAGTAGGTAAATAATTATTCTGAAGATTTTTGCATTTAGTAGAGATATACATCATTCTACTTAATGATAGATAAGTCGGAAAACCCAAGTGTAAAACAATCTAGAAGATAGATGGACCATTAAAATGCTTTCATTACTGCACTTATAGGGTCTATTAGAGCACGCAAAGCTATCGGAAATTTAACAAACGAGCATTGACCATAAGTATTTAAAGAATTAACAGCAACTTATCATGTAATTTCACATAAATTTTTATCAAATTTTTATCGTTATTGTTGTTTTATTTTAATTGAAAA